CCTTTTACATGTCTGGATTGAATTTTTTCCCTTTTTTTCAGGAATGAACATCCAATAGTACCTATAATTAAAGAGCACCGTACTCTAGCAAAACTCTTGAATTGTACATTGGGGTCGATCTGTTCACTTGCTAGACTATCTATGAGGACACAGAGATACACACTGCATGGTCATTGGCTCCAGACGACAACAGCAACAGGGCGACTGTCAATGGAGGAACCTAATCTTCAGGTTCCCTTTTATTCCATTATTTCATTGTTATTAGTGAATCATCCTTAAAGATAATATAACCTGTGTTGGTTAATTTGTTTTGTTTTATTTATCTAGTGTGTTGAACATATGGTTGACTTCAAAATGAATAACAAGGATAAAGACGTTTGTCCGTTAGATGTCAATAATTATAAGATCAATGCTCGTGATTTTTTTGTGTCTACTCAGGTATCTCTTGATTAATCTTAAGTTACTTTTTATATGAAATTATCTTTTTGGATGGTTTCAGTTGAATATTGTACTTACTCTTTCGCAGGACAATTGGTTACTGTTAACAGCAGATTATTCCCAGATAGAACTGAGATTGATGGCCCATTTCTCTAAAGATTCCTCGTTGATCGAACTGCTTAGTGAACCCCAAGGTGATGTCTTCAACATGATTGCTGCAAAATGGACAGGTAAAACAGAGGCTATTGTGAGTCGAGAGGAGCGAGATCAAACTAAAAGGTTGGTTTACGGCATTCTTTATGGAATGGGGGCTAAGAGCCTTGCAGAACAAATCGATTGTAGTGCAGATGAAGCTGCTGAAAGAATCGAAAGCTTTAAAAGATCTTTTCCAGGTGTTGCTTCCTGGCTACAGGAAGCAGTTACATCTTGCCGTGAGAAAGGGTGAGATCAATTTAGTAAAAGTTTGTTTCACCAATATTTAATAGTTCTTTTTCTGTTTATAGTTTCTTTATTTCTTCTATTTCGTTATGATGTATTAGATGCAGTTAAAAGAATTTTTGGTTGAAGTATTTGAAACTAATTTGATCCTCCTAAAATCAAGGTAGTGAGGCACTATAGTTGTTGTTTGATGTTTTAATTTTCATACGAGAAGGCACTCTTGTTTATGTTGACTACTTGATCTTTCCTTCTCTTTTTTCATGTTAAGCTTGTATGGATCTAGTTAGTGGTTGTAATATTACTCCATGTTTTGCCTTGTGCCTGCCCCAGCAATCACAGAAACCTGGTTCCGTCCTTTTTCATGCACATATGTTTCTTATAATTTCTTGCAAGGTCTCACGTTCAGGGTCACTTTATTGGCACTGTTGCACGTAGTGCTTCGTAAGTTCCATCTTTTGTTTCCTTCTCCTGTGCACTTGCTGAAAACTTCTTATCCTTTGAATGAGAAAATGCCTGCCGCAGTATCTGATTCATATACGTCAACTGGGGGAACTTCTTATTCTAGGAATCTTTTTATGGATTATTGTTTTCATCTTTTAATTTTATACTATGCCTCTCTATTTCATTCTCTTTCTTTCTTTCTTTCTTTCTTTCTCTCTCCCTCGTTCTCTATCTTCTCTCATTAGATATCTTTCTTCCATCTCTTAAATCTTCCCATTGCCTTTTTTCCTTATATCCTTCTGGTTGTACATCATGCACTCGAGTCATTAAACCTAGGAGTAATGTTACTATTCATTAGTTGAAAGATGTTGACTTGACTTTTCTCAGTTCAGGCTGGAAATCAGAAGATCATGTATATTATACATGTTGTGTTGTTTTATAAGACATTGCAGGCGGTTGCTAGGCCTCATATGTTGCACACAGATTGTTGATGGCCATGTTTATCTGCTGAAAACTGAAAATGAATGACTTTGCAACTGTTCTTTCTTTTAATAGCTCGATCTTCGTTCTTTCTAAGCTAGTCATATTTTATAGTTGGTGCAGTAACACATTATTAATTCTCCTTACATATACAACCTTTTTTATTGGTATTTCTTAAATAGTTGCCCTTGCTTTTGTGATGCAGTTATATAGAAACCCTCAAGGGACGAAAGCGTTTCTTGGCAAAAATTAACTTCGGAAACAGTAAGGAAAAGTCTAAAGCTCAGAGGCAAGCTGTGAATTCTATCTGCCAGGTAGTTTTGCTTTCTTTTCCACTTCTGAGTTCTGCCCCATCCTTCCCTTCCTCAATCATTTGCCTTCCCTATTTACCCAATTTATCATTGCCTTTTTTGTCTCTATGTCTGCAATTAGGGGTCTGCTGCAGACATTATCAAGATTGCAATGATAAACATTCACTCTGTGCTTGATCATTTTGAGAAATCACTGTCCCATTTTGCGGTTGATGAAAAGTTTCATGTGCTTAAAGGACGTTGTCGGATTATTTTACAGGTAGTTTTCGAGTATTCTCTGCCTGAACAGAAAATCTTTCACTTGGTTCTTCATCTGTTTTCAATTATGACACTGACAATTCACCCCTATTTGAGTTTTTGGTACTCTCAGAAAGGACTTTTTTGTCTCTAGAGGGATAAAGCAGTCCGTATTCTTTTAACAGTAACAGTTTATGTTGTGGTTCTAGGGATGGCAATGGGGCGGTGAGGGGTGGGGTGGGTTTAGAGCCTGTTTGGATTGGGGTAAAAGTTGGTCAAACCTACTTTTAAGTCATTTTTAGTTTTTGGGAGTGTTTGACAAAGTTAAAAATAACTTAAAATAAGTTTAAAATGACTTAAAAAAAGTTAAAAGTTAAAAGCAGGTACTCCCCTACTTTTCATTTTTTAACTTAAAAGTTACTTAAGCTTGATTTTTTAAAAACTACTTTTTTTAAGTTAATCCAAACTTGCTCTTAGTCAAACACACAAAATTCTAAATCCCCCCCGCATAACATTTTTTTTTCTATTCTCAACCCACTCTGCCCGTCCCGCCCCTCTTAAGTTTTTTTTTCTTTATTTTATTATTTACTTATACAAATATTTCAAAGTTTTATAAATCACCGTTGTTATATTTAGAATTATTTAACAGTTGATTTAAAACTATTTTATTAGGTCTATAAGCTAGCAACATTTTCATCGATAACTATTTTATAAACCCACTCCACTGTTTACTGCTCCAGTGTTTGTCAATGCAGCCTAAGATGGCAGCCCATGTCTTTTTACTACTTACGGGTTGGGACTTTCTTTTGTAAAAATATATTCTATCATTTTTTAAATTTAATAGAACATGATATTTTATAATTTTTGGGGAATAAATTCTTTCATTAACTTTTTATTGAATATTACTCTTGCCTGAGATATCTCATCTAAATACATATTTAAATGTTCACTATTGCAAAGCTGGTTATTTCCTAGAGTTGGTCAAATTCAGATGAAGTAAGGGAAGACATTAACATTATCTATTTTCTTTTTCAAGAATTACATATTTATTCTCAAGTAGGAGTAGTATTCAACCATAAAATAATAGAAGATTTTATTGCCTAAAAATTATAAAATATCATGTTCTATTAAATAATTTTTTTTGATAAAATATCATTTTAGGAAGTTAAGTCATGGACAAATTTTAACTTCTTTTCCTTTTAAGTTTTTACCATTAACAGAGGTGTAATCAATAATTGAAAACAAACTCAAACTAAATCCCAACTTTTAAAAAGTAAAAAAGGCATGCGCATCAGCAAGCTAAAACTGCATCGACAAATATTGGAGGAGACCCGCATCCGCCCTGCCCTCCCCCATTGCCATCCTTATGTGGTTCAATTGCTCATAGTCATCACTCTCTGTTCCTATTTAGGTTGCTTCATTTTAGGATGTCCCAGAACGTTTAACTCACTTGTGGAGTTGTATTACTATGAGAATCTCGAAACTTCAAGAGTTCAAATTGGAATTAAACTTGATATACTTGATGTTTCAAATAAATGATTTCTTCTATTACACTGATACAGTTCTAGTTAATTGGTGAACTTGTGTGCTTGTCAAATGTATCACAATAATGGACAGAAGGAACAATTTTCAATATTGTTATGAACTTATTTTTTTTAAGTGAACTGAAATATCGTTTAGTTTGGTAAGGGAGCATATAGTTAGTTGATTTTGTACTGTTTAGATGATTCTACGAGAAATTTCGTGTATTTCTGGTTAAGGAAGTGCTTAGAATCTCTAGTAGGAGGACAAGAAATGTCTATTTCTCATCTCCATTTTAGTTCCTGAGCTATTTGCTTACAGTTGCATTTGAGTTTGTATTGGTTAAATATTGATCACTTGCTTCGGACATTGCTAAGGTTCATGATGAATTAGTACTTGAGGCTGATCCTTCTGTTGCAAAGGAAGCTGGATTGTTGTTGCAGATGAGCATGGAAAGTGCTGTTTCTCTTCTTGGTAAGGGATCATAGCAAACTAAATATATGCCTGTTGGGATCATAAGTCCTAGTTTATCTCAGGTTTGTCAATTAGAGGATTTTCTGGGGGATGGCGTGGAAGATCCTCTGATTGACTTAACCTTAGTTAAACCTTTTGGTGGACTAAATGATCTTATGTCGTTCTTTATTGTACTTTTTCCCTCTCTTAGAATTGATATTCTTCTTGAAGTTTGTGCTTATAGTAGTTCCTACGGTTGTGTTCCAGTCCCACTGCATGTGAAACTGAAGATTGGGAGCACATGGGGATCGTTGGAACCTTTCCAGGCCAGAGAATGATAGGTTTTTAAGTGTGGACATTTGTTGGCAAAGTTTAAAACTATTAGTTGCTTCATGCTGTTTGAACAGTATCAACAGCTGTTATTTTCAGGTAACCTGTGTCAATTTTGCTGAATGAGTTCTCTCAAATGAGAGTTCTTCCATTAAATAGAAAGAATTCTGATTTACATGCCTAAAAATCTGCTATATATCCCTAAATATATGCTATTCCTAATTGTAATATCTCTGAAAATATGCTACATTAATCTATGCTATCTCCTATCATCATTACACAAATATTTAGAGTTATAACATAGATATGTACAGATATTTAGAATCTATCCAATCATGCTAACATCCCCCCTCAAATTGATGCCGGTGGATCAAAAAGCATCAATTTGCCTACCAGAAACTGATGACGTTGTCGTGCCATAGACTTTGTAAACACATCAGCTATTTGAAGATCACTGGATACATGTGGAAGAGTAATGACTCTCTTATCTACAGCTTCTCTGATATAATGACAATCCACTTCAATGTGTTTGGTCCTTTCATGATAAACTGGATTAGTAGCAATCTGAATAGCACTTGT